CAATACTTGGAAAGTGCCTGGTCCATAATAGGCATTTAATAGATGCTTGTTGATTGATTGGTTTGAAACTCTCACGGCTAATGGGATGGGAGATGGGAGATGTGAGTGGTAAGGGAAGCAGCTGCCTCTTGGTATCTTTTCAAACACTTCTCAAGGGAGCTCTGCCTCAGCCCTGGGTCCAGGCCATCTTTACCCTAGGAAGCCCTATGACCACCTCAATCCAGCCACCTGCCTTGTTATTTTAGAGACTCCCCAGGAAGCTCTGCTTCAGCCCCATATCCAGGTCATTTGTCTCTTAGCCTTTGTCTTTGCCCCAGAGCCTTCCCAGAGAGAGGTGCATCAGCTTGGCTCTAAGCCACCCACCTGGGGCCAATTTGCACCGGAGACTTCTCCAGTTCCCCAGAGGCCCTTCCCAGACCTGACCTACCTTCCCCAGACCAGACAAGCCCCTGCCTACTGTGAGATGGGTATACTGGACATGGCCAGGCATAGCATTACCAACTCCAATGTGGTGGACCTCAAGGGAGGGCCTCAAACAACACTCAATGGACCTCTCTCCAGCCACTGATACTCTGCCTGGATTCATTCATTAATCATTTATATATCTGTCTCTCCCACTACGTGCCCCCCCCCCCGCCATGCTCTCACTTTTCCGTATTCTAAACCTCTGGCTACAGAAGTACAAACCTTGTTCCCCATTCTCAGCTACCCTCTCTCTCACTCCCATCTGGCTCAACCAAACCCCACAAAGGTCCCAATCCACATCTACCCACCTCTTCTACTGTGCTCTCTAGAATACCCATTTAATCATTAACAAACTCACTTTTATCTTAAACTTTTGCCTTTCTTATCCCTTCTGTCTTATGGCACTCACTGAGACCTGATTCTTTCCGGATGACACAGCTTCCCTGGCCATGCTTTCCCTCGTACCCCTAAACTCACAGTCATGATCCAAAAGTTGGCATACTTCTGGCTACTCATTGCCATTTCTATACTCTCCTTCCACCCCAACCACTGGGCAATTTCTCCTTCTCTGAGAGTCATACTATTCAAATTTCTCATCCAATCCATGGTATCTGTTAGGCTGTTATCTATCAACCTCCCTCCCACCGCCAGCCTGAAGTGTTCTCCTTTCTTCAGTGAGTTCAGGGTCTGGCTCACAGTCTCTTCCTCCTTTCCAACTTTTATCCCCAATAAACATTGAAGAAGACATCAATATATATTAATACTCCATCTTGAGTATCCCAACGTTCCAGTTGCTCAATCTACTCAATCTCTGTGACCTATGTCTGCATCTCAATCATGCGCAGATTGTCATATCCTTGTTCTTGTGATCACTTCCATGTTCATGAAATCCAAAATTCTTTCATTTGATCATTACCTTTTATCATTCTATCTTTCTCTCTGCTTTATGAACCCTGTTCTTCATCCTCACTGAGACTTTTGATTCCTCCAGCCCCTGAGTTCTTTCCCAGGCAATTACCCTTTCATTGGCTACATCGTCCTCTCTTCCTTATCTCCACCCCTTGGTGACTAGAATCACTACACATTTATGTTGCATAATCTTAACTGGGCCTTCACTGCAGCAAGGCAATCCTTTTATATACCCCTAATTTATTCATTCTCACACTCTTTACAACGACATTTTAAAATCTTTTCATTCCTTCTCAGTTCTCCCACATCACGCCTCTTCTCACCCTCTCAACTAAGGACCTTACCTCATACTCATCTGTAAAAACTGTGGCCATTGGATGAGATTCTTCCTTGTCTTCCATCCTCCTCCTCACTTTCCTCACTGTCTCTTCCTTCACCCTCCTTATCTCTAATGAAAAGGTGGCTCTTCTTCTTGCTGAGGTAAAACCCTCTACACACACCCTTGATCCCTTCTTTCCCATTTTCTCAAGTAGGCTGCCCCCTCTACTGTTTCCACCCTAATCTTCAGCTTCTCCCTATCTACTGACTTCTTCCCTGCTGCCTACAAATCATGCCCATATCTCTCTCAACCTTAAAAATACTCCTCTCTTGATCCTACCATCCACCACCCTCCCAACTTTTGTCCTATATCTCTTCTTTCCTTAGCTACATTCCTTGAGAAAGTGGACTACCATCCCTTCTTCCACTTGATTTTTAACCCTCTGTCTTCTAACCTCATCATTAGACTGGAACCGCTCTCTCTAAAGTCACCAGTCATCTCTTAATTGCTACATCCAATGGCCTTTTCTCATTCCTCATCATCCTTGACCTCTCTGCAACCTTTGACACTGTTGATCATCCTTTTTTTTCCTGGGTACTCTCTCCACTCCAGGTTTTTGTGATACAACTCTCCTGATGGTGCCCTTCTACCTGCCTGGCTGCTGCTTCTCTATCTCCTTTGCTGTTTCTTCATCTAGGTCATACCCACTAATCATGGCTGTCTCAAGACTCTGTTCCTGGACCCTCTTCTCTTTTCCTTCTATATTATCTCCCTTGGTAATCTTATAGGGGTTAAATTATTATTTCTATGTAAATGATTCCCAGATTTGTATATCCAGCCCTAACTTCTCTCTTATGGGCAACTAGCTAGTACAGTGGATAAAGTGCTGGGCATGGAGTAGGGAAGAACTGAATTCAAATCTGGCCTCAGACACTTAATAACTGTGTGACCCTGGACAAGTCACTTAACCCTATTTGTCTCAGTTTACTCATCTGTAAAATGAGCTGGAGAAGGAAATGGCAAATCACTTCAGTTTCTTTGCCAAGAAAACCCCAAATAGGTCACAGAGAGTCAGACATGACTGAAAACAACTGAACAACAAGTTCCCTCCTACATTATAGTCTCAAATCACTAACGCCTGTTGGACGTCTTGAACTGGATGTCGTGTAATCACTTCAAATTCAACATGGCCCAGGCAGAGCTCATTATCTCTTCCCCCCACAGTCTTTCCAGATTTTCTATTACTGTTAAGGGCATCGCCGTCCTCCCAGTCCCCCAGGGTCACAAGCTTGGTGTAACCCTTAGCTCCTTCCTCTCTTTTCTCTCTCATATCCAATGTGTTGCCAAGTCTTGTTGTTTCTGCCCTTATGACACCTTTCATTGTACATCCTCTTCTTTCCATTTATACAGCCACCACCCTGGGGCAGGCTCTCAGTACCTCCCACGCCCCCACAGCTTGCTGGTCAGTCTGTCTGCCTCGGGTCTTTTCCTGCTCTAGTTCACCCTTCACTCAACTTCCAGAGTCATCTTCCTAGAGCTCAGATCCTACCATGTCACTCCCCTACTCAATAAACTCCAGTGGCTCTCTATCACCTGCAGGATCAAATATAAAATCCTCTGTCTGACTTTTAAAGCCCTTCAGAACCTGACCCTTCCTACCTTTCCAGTCTTTTTATACTTCACTCTCCTCCCCACACACCACTGTCCAGTGACATTGGTCTTCGAGCTCTTCCTTGAACACGGCGCTCTATCTCTTGACTGGCTGTTCCCCATGCACAGAATGCTTTCCTTCTTCACCTCTGCCTCCTGGCTTCCCCAGTCTCCTTGGAGGCTCAGTTCAAATCCCACCTATCTCCTTCCCTCCGAGGTTATGCTCCTCCCATTTACACCGTGTATTTCTTGTGTAGTTGTTGGCATGTTGTCTCTCCATTAGAATGTGAGTTCTTTGAAAGCTGGAACTGGTTATGAATGTCTTTGTGTCCTCAGTGCCTAGCATCGTAGTAAGTGCTTAATAAATGTTTGTTGATTGATTGATTGTGAAGAGCCTTGAAGACAAGATTGAGGGTGTGAGTCAGCAATGGGGAGTCATAGAAAAGTTCTGAGCAGGAGAGCAATGCCATTATACAAGTTTCTCTGCCTTCCAAACATCCTCGCTAAATGCTGCCAATATAGAACTACCCTTGATGAGCAGCCTGGAAGTTTAGATAGAAGCCTGATGAATTGGAATAGTAGGAAGACTGTGGGAGCCGAGCAGGGAGCTGGTTTTCATGCAGTCTCCTGGCTTGTACATTCTTCTGTTCTGTTGGGTGCACAGGGGAAGGGGTGACTAATGTAACAGATAGTCTGGGCTGTGCCCCTATAGCATGACCAAGGATCCTCACAGGGGTGAAGTGTATGGTGATGGGGGAATGTGTAGCAGTGATATTCTCTCTCATCCCAAGATGCAATTTGAACATCCACATGGTGGTCTGCAGCAGGTAGGACTCTGGGTGCCAGGAGAAGGGAATAGTGGTGATAGAATGGGGATGGTGGTGGTGGTAACAGTCTGTGTGTAGGTGGTTACATCATGGATAAGTGAGGATGGCACCCTGGAGGACTGCTGGGGGAGGCAGGGTGCCCCCTTTAAATTTCAGTGCCTTGGAGCAAAGCCCCAGCTGTCCCAGCCTAATTACAGCCATGTCCTTATAGAAAATGAGGGGTTACTTTAGGTGTTCTCTAATACCTTCTAACTTTAAAATTTTTTGTCCAAAGATCTCTTTCAGCTCTAGCACTATCCTGTTCTAATGTTCTGAGGTTCTTTCCAACTCAAACATTTTGTGTTCTAAGTTCCCTTCCTCCCTAGCAGGTGGTACTGTTCTCATTACTGCACCTGTGTTCCCCCCTGCCCCCCACATGCTTACATTCCTTGGTTCTTGCAGCCTGTGTCAGAATCCCTAGTTACAGCTTAAGAAACGGGGGACCTGAAGCCCAGAGATCAATGCCACCTGCCCAAGGTCACACAGAGAGTGAGTAGCAGACCTGAGACTAGAACCCAGGTTTCCTAATCTTCAATCCAGAGCTCTTTGGGAAGCGAAACGTTTACCAGATGGGGGGAGGTGACAAGGCATTTAGAGAAACGGGCAGAAGATGGGACTTTTCACTTAGTTGGCAATGCGCCTGCTTGGTGGGCATTCTCACTCAGAGGCAGAAAGGCAGCAGAGGGGACTGGACTGGTCAATGCCTGGTACCTCTGCAGCACTTAATAAAGTTTGCTGATTGGTGATTGATTGACTGATTGATCGACAGGATTTTTCTCTTTCTCTCTCAGGATGAAAACCCAGGTCCAGGCTTCTACAATGTCATTCATCAGTCTCCAGAGTTCAACAGTGTCTCACTATCAAAGAAAGGAACAGGAGCTTTTCCTTCGGTGGTGAGACAATCTTTCTTTTCTGTGGCTTATTCCATTCTTCCTTCACAGCCAGAAGCCGGGGCACAATCTTCTCCGGCCTCCTGTGTCTTTTACTATCTCTTTCGCTGCCATTTACGAGGCTGCACTTCTAGTAGGTGCTTTTCTGTCTGCCAAGGGCTTTCACACCAATTACCTCATTTGGTGCTTACAACACCCTTCCAGGTAATGAGAATAACAATAATAATAGTAATAATAATGATGACAATAATAATAGCTTACATTTATACAGAGACCTCTAAGATTTATAAAACACTTTCCAGGCATTATTTCATCTGATCCTCACCCCCAATCTTGTTAGGTCGGTGCTATTATCATCCCCATTTTATAGATGGAGAAACCCAAGTTCAGTGACTTGCTCAGAGACCCACAGGTAATGAGGGTAGGAGGTAAGGTTTGGACCCAGGTCTTCTTGGCTCCTCCTACTCAGGTATTGATCATTTTTGGCTGAAGAAATGGAAATTGAATTACGTAACCTGCTGAAGCTTTCACAGACAGGAAGTGGGGGAGGTGGGGACTCAGGTCTATTGATAAGTCCAAGGTAGTTTTCCATGATGCAAGCTATCTTTGGTTATATCTGAAGAGCCTTAAACCTTTCACAGACATGACCCTGGTCAGGAGAAAAGCTTTCTTCTTAAATGTTTTTGCCCATTTCCTAGAGAGGTAAATAGAAGCCGAAAAGTTCCATTTTGTTGCCACACCCCCGTGCCACACCCAGGCAGAGCTGGGGAGAGACTCTTGAAAGAGAATTCAGAATTTGGCCATTTGGGATGATTCAATTAGGTATCCTAGCAAAGTGATGACAATATTTGTAGCGTGCTTTCTAATGACAAAGCACTAGCGTCACAGGAACCCCAAGAAGTAGAGAGGGTACTGTCATCATCCTCTTCTCCAATGAGGAAACCGAGGCCCTGTCAGAATCTGTCAAGAGAGGTTCTGTGTCTGAGTATTTATAACCACATCTAAATAAATACAACGAGGCCCCAACAGGTCTTGGCCAAGCCAAAATACAGAAAATCATTTTGAAATAGAAATGGCAAAAAAAAGTATTTGAAGACTTCTTATGATTGTTTTTGAGTTGGGGGGATATGACAGAAAGAGCACTGAGGATCTGGGTTCCCCCATTTAGGAGCCTTTGCTTTTTTTTTTTTGGCTAGGCAATGGGGTTAAGTGACTTGCCAGGGTCACACAGCTAGTGTCAAGTGTCTGAGGTCGGATTTGAACTCAGGTCCTCCTGAATCCAGGGCCAATGCTCTATCCACTGCACCACCTAGCTGCCCCCAAGCCTCTGCTTTTTAACAATCCTCACATTATTTACCTACCCGGGGCTTCTGGGAGGAAAGCCCCGGAGAAGAGAGCTGCACTCTCCTTATGGCCTTTTAAACGTCATGGAGAGGCTCCATGCTCCAAAAGCACTTATTAAGTCCCTCCCATGGCCATAGCACTGTGCTGGGCACCAGGAACATAAAGACAACACCCTCAAGGAGTTTATGAACCTCACTCCCTCCCCCCACCGAGTTTTCTCCACATTCCATGACTTATGATAGCATTCGCCCCCACAGATGATCTCAAAGCCCTTTACAGGGCCTATTCAGAGTCTCTCCAGAATGGAAGGAATGTCCCCGCTGCTCTTTGGAATCGGAGATAGGCAGAGTTGCATTGCCCCAGGTCTCAGCATTGGACCGCCCACATCTCCAGCGGGTTCAAGACCCATCCTGCTGGGTCAGAAGGACCACACCTGGCCTGACCCCACAGGCACCTTGCTACTATTTGGCTCTAGGGAAGGCACGCAAGGGACGTGCCCTTCTCCTGGCACACTCATCAGCCAGCCAAACCTAACCCTGGCTGCCCAGGCTGCGGACTGACTGTGACCCAAAGCACGCCACCTCCCACCGGCCCGGCCCGTTGCTTCATCCCGTCAGGGAGGCAGGACGACTCATCGGTCCCCCCCGCCCTGAGGGATTGTGGAAATCCACCTGTCAGTGACTGAGGCACACATTGTTGAAACTGCAGAGTGGAGGTTCTGAGTCATGTGCAAACACTTCCTGCAACACCTAGGTTTCCTTCCAGTGGATTGCACAGCCAAACAGGGGTTCTGCCCACAGCCCAGCTCCATACCACAGCAGACAGTTTATCAAACGAGGTTACCTGCATGGAGAATAATAACAACAGCAACAACAACAACTAGTGTTTATATAGCTCCTACTATGTGCCAGGCACTGTGCTAAGCATTTTTTTTTTTTTTACAAATATTATCTCATTTGATCCTCACAACAATCCGGGGAGATAGGTGTTGTTATTATCCCCATTTTACAGATAAGGAAACTGAGGCAGACAGAGTTTGAGTGATTTGCCCAGGGTCACACAGGTAGTAACTGTCTGAGGCTGAATTTGAACTCAGATCTTCCTGACTTTGGCCCCAGTACTCTATCCACTTTGCTGCATGAATACTGAGATGGATCCACATGGAGCCTGACCTCAAGAAGCCTACAGTTGGATGTAGGGAATGGCAGACACATAAATTCCCCTGATCTAAGAAAGAGGGAGAAGAGAGACATGCAAAATGTTAGGAGGAATCTGGGGAGAATGGGGACCATTTTACCTAGGAGCAAGAGTGGTAGAGGAATGGGTGTTACCTGAGGGGGGCCTTGAAGGGAGGTAAAGACTTCACGTGGGGACAGTGGGGAAGTCCATTCTTGTCCTGGGGAACCTATGAGGAAATGAAGCTGACATTTACATAGTGCTTTTTTTTTTTTTTTTTTTTTTGTGAGGCATTTGGGGTTAAGTGACTTGCCCAGAGTCACACAGCTAGTAAGTGTTATGTGTCTGAGGCCAAATTGGAACTCAGGTCCTCCTCACTCCAGGGCCTGTGCTTTATCCACTGCGCCACCTGGCTGCCCCAATATAGTGCTTTAAGGTTAGCAGAGCACATTCATACACTGCCTCCTTGATCTCCCTAACAACACCATGAAGGAAGTGCTTTAAATATCCTCATTTTATCAATAATGAAAGGGAAACTCAGTCATTAAAGGACTTGTCCTGAGATCACGTGGTGACTATATCCCAGGTATGATTTAAACAGGTCAAGTCGCAGAGGCAGGATTTGAATCTGGGTCCTCCTAACTCTGGCTCCAGCTCTCTCTCTTTCTCTCTGTCCATCACGTTGATGGACACTTTGATGCCAAGGTAGTGGGGGAGTATGATGGCATGGGATGGGGTGAGTATGGGGGTTGGGATGGGGGTGAGGGACAGAATAAGCAGGCCAGTTTGGCTGGAGTACAGAATATGTGAAGGGGAATATCTGGAGTCTTAAATACTGGATTCCAGAGTTTATTTGATAGTCAATGGGGAGCCATTGAAAGTGTTGGAAGAGAGGACAGCAGGGCAGTGAGGCAGCGGAATGGAATGGAGATTGACCAGCCTGGACGCAGCAAGACTGGTTAGGAGGTTACTGCTACGGGTTAAATAAGAAAGGAAGGGCCTGACCCTGGACAGTGATAGAGGGAGTAGAAATGAGGGGCCTCAGAGGAGAGACACTGGGGAAAGAGACAGGACTTAGCTGGGGGGATTAAGGAGATCAGTGTGTCAGAGAGGGCTCTCACATGAGGGAGGCACAGCCCAGGCCAGCTCTGTGCCAGCGGTAATCGGGCTCCAGGAAACAGAGAGAGATTCTCAGATTTGGAACTCCGAGGCCATCTGCTCCAGCTCATGAAAGCCCTCGATGACACCCCAGACAAGTGACCATCCAGCCTCTTCTTGGAGTCCTCCAGGGACAGGGGGCCAACACCTCAAAGGCAGCCCATTCTGATTGGGCACAGCTCTATAACTGCTGGGAGCTTTGTTTTTTATTTATTTCTAAATTTCCCTATATAGGAAACCTAAAATGTCCCCTCTTTAACCTCCATCCATTGCATTCATTGCTAGTTCTACCCTCTGTGGACATAGAGCTGTAGGCCTTTGAATACTGGGAGACAGGTGTTATGAACCCCAGTTAATCCAGTCCAATCCAATCCAATCTAATCAAAAAAAAAAGCACTTATTAAGTCCCTCCCATGGCCAAAGCACTGTGCTGGGCACCAGGAACATAAAGACAAGACCCGCAAGGAGTTTATGAACCTCATCCCCTCCCCCCACAGAGTTTTCTCCACATTCCATGGCCCCAGTTCCTTTGGTCAACTCTCATATGGCATGATCTCCAGGCCCTCCTCAATGTTAGCCATCCTTCTCTAGGTGATTTTCAGGAGATCTTTGAACTCAAGATGTCAACTCAGCTGATTGGCCAGGGTGGCCAGGAAGCTGGATCCCTCTGTGTGGGGCATGCAGCATGTGGAAAGAGTACTATCTCTAGATAGCACTCAGATGATGTGGGCTGTGATCCTGCCCCTGATACTTAGTTAATGCCTGTAGGACTTTGGCAGATCATTTCTGGACCTCCAATGCAGATGCTGGATTAGATCACCTCTGAGATCTCTCCTAGTTTTAAGTCTATGTGCTAAAACAGGGTTAAAGAATCCAGGAAACTTAAAAAGGAGTGTAGGAATAGAAGAGAACTCAGAGGACATGTGGTCCAATTTCTGCATTTTACTGTTTAGGGAACCGAGAACCAAGGACATTAAGTGACTTTCCTAAGGTGACAGACAGCAACCATCATGGGTGAGGCTGGGGGGTGGGGAATGAACTTAGGTCCTCTGGCTACCTAGGACTGAAGACAAGGTCCCATGGACCAGTTCCAAAACAAAGTGCTGGGTGCCCAGGACATTGTTTCATGGATCAGTTGAGGCTTAGGGTCAAGGACTGGACTTTGGCTCATCCCTGCCTTCCAAAATTTCAACTGGGAAGGCTCTGATTGGTGCCTTCAAGTCTCCAGCCCAAGGGTGGAGAACTATATAATTCTGGAGAAAGAGGTACCAGGACAAGTTAGTACATGGATTGATGGGAGATTAATGACTTGAAAACATGACATG